GGGGGGAGGTGCGCGAGCCAGCCGAGGAATACTGCCCGAGCAGGAGGGAGCCACCATCTCTGGCAGGCGGGCCCACCATAGCCTCTGGCGTGTGGCCAGGAGTGTCCACCTGACTTCTCCATGGGTTGTCCCTCTGACCCACAAGGTTACCCAAGTCCATGCTCTCCCAACACTGCCAATGGGAGCAATTCTGTTCCCTGGGAGCCAGGACACCTGGAGGGAATGCATGCATGACAGAGGGCCTCCTGGGTCCTGTTCTGGGGACAGGACAAGCCTGAGAAGGACCTCATCTCTGAGGACCAGCGCCCAGCGGTGGGGTCCTGAGAGCCGGATGGAGCAGGAGAGGGGTTTCTTTGCAGATGCAAGAGTGAGTCAGGTGAATGGACGCACGCGTGGAGTGTACTGAAGCCAGGAGAAAGATCTGCCCCCTTCACTCTTTAAAACTCTTGACCAGCCCGTCCAGGCGTGGCTCAGCGGTTAAGGGTCAACCTAGGATCCAGGCGATCAGGGTTTGATTCCCGGTCAGGGCACATGCCCGGGTTGTGGGCTTGATCAATGACTCTCTCATCATTGATGTTTCTACCTCTCTCTCTCCCTCTCCTTTCCTCTGTCTGAAATCAATAAAGACATATTTTTAAAAAAATAAATAAATAAAAAAAATAAAACTCTTGACCAATAGACCCTTTAAGTTCTTGACGCCTGTAGCAAAAGATAGATTTTCGAGAAAAGCATAGATATTCATTTGGTAAAGTTTGACATGACGCAGGAGCCTTCATAAGGAGAGGACTCGAAGAAACGCTCAGTGGGCGCTGTTCTGCCGGGTTAGGTGAAGAGTGGAGAGTCTCGGAAAGACGCGCTAGGACAAAGGGAGCGAGGTGAGTGTGCTGAACTGAGGGAACATTAAAAAACCTGGTCATTTGGATTCCTGTCCGAATCCCTGCTTCTCTGCAGAGAAGAATGTCCTCGGGGCACAGAGAGGGCACCGCCTCTCCTGCCGGGGTCTTGTGACCTGACTCAGGGACAGGTCAGAAAGTCCTGCCTGCACCTGCCATTTCTCAAATCCTTCCGCTGAAAACATGCAAAATGCCACGGCGCCGTCTCTGGGGGTCGCGCGTCCTGAACTCCACCAGCCCATGCAGTGGCCTGTGTCAGCCTTAAACAGGAGGGAGATTCTGCCCAGGCCACGACAGGGTGACCCTTGAGGACGTTGCGCTCAGTGAAATCAGCCAGTCACGGAGGACAAATCCTGTGTAATTCCACTTCTCTGAGGTCCCTGCAGGAGTGGAATTCATAGAGACAGAGGCAGAACGCTGGGTGCCAGGGCTGAGGCCGGCCGAATGGGGAGTAGAGTTTCAGGGGGTAGAGTTTCTGTTCTGCATGAAACAAATTTGCAGTTACACGGTGGAGTTGTTGGTACAACTCTGAATGTGCTTAATGCCACTGAACAGTGTGTTTAAAAATGGCCAGCATGGTAAACTTCAGGTTACGTGTGATTTCCACACGCAAAAGTGACTTACAGCCAGAGCTGGGAACCCGGACCGAGGGTGGGGGCTGCAGGGG